AAAGCCCGACTGCTCACTGGAGGGAAAGATACTAGAGACAAAGTTGACGTACTTTGGCCACATCATGAGGAGACAGGAAAGCCTAGAGAAGACAATTATGCTGGGGAAAGTGGAAGGCAAAAGGAAGAGGGGCCGACCAAGGGCAAGATGGATGGATGGCATCCTTGAAGTGACTGGATTGACCTTGAGGGAGCTGGGGGTGGTAACGGCTGACAGGGAGCTCTGGCGTGGGCTGGTCCATGAGGTCACGAAGAGTCGGAGACGACTGAACGAATGAACAACAACAACATCCTTATTTATTAGTTTTTATTATTACTAGGTATCCTACCATCCAAAATTAAATTTTCTTTCAGTTTTTTTCAGCATTACAGTAACTTAAAACACCCAGCTGAAAGGAGAAACAAGCAACAAAGATAATTTATTATGACACTATGTAACTCCACTTTTGTTCCCGAGTTATAAATGTCATTTCCTAATTGGTTCTATCTTGAAAACATGGGAAAGGTGTATTAAACTGCAAAAACTTTGTCTTTGTAGGACATCCTGAAGCAACATTTTACTATAATTTCTCCATTAATATCTCATAAGAGTCTCAACCAATTCAACATACTTTGTGTTGTCGAAGACTTTCATGGCCAGAAACACAGAATTGCTGTGAATATTTTGGGCCGTATGGTCATGTTCCAGTAGCATTTTCTCCTGATGTTTCACCTGCATCTATGGCAGGCATCCTCAGATATTTGTTGGAAATTAGGGATATGAAGTGAAAAAACTCTTGTCTGTTTGAAGCAAGTGTGAATGTTGCAATTAGCCATTTTGATTAACACCGGGTAGCCTTGCAGCTCCAAAGCCTGGCTGTTGCTGCCTGGGGCATTCTTTGTTGAGAGATGTTAACTGGCGCATGGATGTTGGCTGTCTGGAATTCCTGTTTCTGGGTGTTGTTCTTTATTTACTGTCTTGATTCTGGTGTTCTTTAATAGTGTAACCTGATTTGGTTCATTTTCATGGTTTCTTCCTTTCTGTTGAAATTGTCCACATGCTTGTGGATTTCAATGGCTTCTCTATGTAGTCTGACATGGTGGTTGTCGGAGTGGTCCAGCATTTCTGTGTTCTCAAAGAATATGCTGTGTCCAGGTTGGTTCATCAAATGCTCTGCTATGACTGGCTTCTCTGGTTGAATTAGTCTGAAGTGCCTTTCATGTTCTTTGATTCATGTTTGGGCCCTGCATTTGGTGGTCCCTATGTAGACTTGTCCACAGCTGCATGGTATATGGTACACTTAACATTCATACTTGCTTCAAACAGACAAGGGTTCTTTCTCCCACCCTGGACATTTCACAGATATATATATATATATACACTCCAATTGCCTCACTTCCAACAAACCTCTGAAGATGTCTACCAAAGATGCAGTGAAACACCAGGAGAGAATGCTACTGGAATGTGGCCATACACCCCAAAACACTCACAGCAATTCAACATGTTTTGTGGCAGCCACAAAAACGAAGTTTCCGGAGTACATCAATGACTTCCAAAGTAAACACTGCACAATTAAACAGGAAATGACATTTCCAACACTTCAGGAACAGAAAAAAAAATCACATTTCTTACACAGTGTTAGTATTTAAATATAGTTGAGCATTTAGAATTTCAGGGCTCTTCCACACAGCCAAATAACCCAGAATATCAAGACAGGGAATCCACAATATCTGCTTTGAAATGGATTATGTGAGTCCAAACAGCTAGATAATCCATTTCAATGTGGATTTGATGCAGCTGTGTGGAAGGGGCCTCAGGTAGAAGTATAGCTTAGGCTAGTGGTTCTCAACCTGTGGGTCCCCAGATGTTTTGGCCTTCAACTCCCAGAAATCCTGTGATGTTACTTGGGAACCACTCTGAGTCCCCTCGGGGAGCTGGAGTGGTATATAAATAAAGTTTTATTATATTATTATTATTACAAGTCCAACTCCCAAATAACAAAATCAATCCCCCCCTCAACCCCACCAGTATTTGAATTTGGACATATTGGTCATTTCTGCCAATTTTGGTCCAGTGAATGAAAATACATCCTGCATATCAGATATTTACATTACACTTCACAACAGTAGCAAAATTACAGTTTATGAAGCAGCAACGAAAATAACTTTATGGTTGGGGGTCACCACAACATGAGGAAGTGTATTAAGGGGTCGTGGGATTAGGAAGGTTAAGAACCACTGTTCTATTTAGTGAAAACCCACCAAACAAAAGGCCTGACAAAGGCAGCCTTGTGAGGAGGGATGGATGGACCCAAAAGGCCTTCCCAGTTCAACCAAATCAAAGGAAGGACCTATCTCTTTCCTCGCTTCTTTCCAAACAAGCCCCTTTAGTAAAGGCTGGCACCCAAAGAGGCCTCAGAAACAGGAGACAAATACAATACAGGTATTAAGGAGAGAAAAAGGAGAGTCTTTCCCTTCCTACCGTGGTCCCAATGTCTTCTTGGAAGAGGCGGAAAAGCAACCAAGCGGGCGCGTGGCTCTGAGCCGTCCTGGCCGGGTCTATTTCAAGGCCCTCAGGAGGCGGGACCGAAAGAGGAGGGAGTGTGCAGGCCTCTCCTCTCCCGCTCCTCCCCTTCCTCAACGCCTCAGGCCACAAGGCCTGCTTATGGCGGGTTTCCGGCGCTGAGGAGGCAAGAAGGGAGTTGCAGGGCCTCCGGGCGCGGATGGGAAGCGGTAGACACGCCTCCTCCGAGCCGAGGCTCCTGACACCAAGGCCTCCTCCGCCCCTTCCGCCATTTTCGCCGCCTCATGAAAGCGCTTCTTCTCCAATGGCGTCGCGAGCGCCTCTCCTCCAATGGCGTCGCCCTCCAATGGCGTCGCGAGCGCCTCTCCTCCAATAGCGCCGCCCTCCAATGGCGTCGCGAGCGCCTCTCCTCCAATGGCATCACGAGGCCTTTCCTCCAATGGGCGTCGTCCACTAATAGCGTTGTGAGGTCTGAGGAATACTCATTCAGGGAAAAGCTGACTGGAATTGAGGGCGTTTTTCATGACACCCTCACTATCTTTTTTATCGTCCTGATGAACAGCCCGAATAGATTTTTCTTCGCTTGTTATTGTTGTTGGCACCACAATTGAAGAGAGATATTGACAAGCTGGAATGTGTCTAGGAGGGCGACTAAAATGATAAAGGGTCTGGAGAACAAGCCCCATGAGGAGCGGCTTAAGGAGCTGGGCATGTTTAGCCTGAAGAAGGCTGAGGGGAGACATATTTATTTATTTATTTTGTCGTGTCAGGGCAACCAGTCGATTATATTACATTTCTAACAGAACAAAGCAAACAAACAGACAAAATACAAAATTTGTGAGTTTGGTAGTTGATTAAATGTCCTTTGACCAGTATCTGGCCACTTGGAGTGCCTCTGGTGTTGCTGCAAGAAGGTCCTCCATTGTGCATGTGGCAGGGCTCAGGTTGCATTGCAGCAGGTGGTCAGTGGTTTGCTCCTCTCCACACTCGCATGTCGTGGATTCCACTTTGTAGCCCCATTTCTGAAGGTTGGCTCTGCATCTCGTGGTGCCAGAGCGCAGTCTGTTCAGCGCCTTCCAAGTCGCCCAGTCCTCTGTGTGCCCAGGGGGGAGTCTCTCATTTGGTATCAGCCATTGGTTGAGTTCTGGGTTTGAGCCTGCCACTTTTGGACTCTCGCTTGCTGAGGTGTTCCAGCGAGTGTCTCCGTAGATCTTAGAAAACTATTTCTAGATTTAAGTCGTTGACGTGCTGGCTGATATCCAAACGGGATGAGCTGGAGATGTCTCTGCTTTGGTCCTTTCACTATTGGCTGCTACTTCCCGGTGGATGTCAGGTGGTGCAATACCGGCTAAGCAGGGGAGACATGATAACCATGTATAAGAGGAAGTCATGGGGAGGAGGGAGCGAACTTGTTTTCTGCTGCCCTGGAGACTAGGACGTGGAACAATGGCTTCAAACTACAAGAAAGGAGATTCCATCTGAACATTAGGAAGAACTTCCTGACAGTGAGAGCCATTCAGCAGTAGAACACTCTTCCCCAGAGTGTAGTGGAGGCTCCTTTGGAAGCTTTTAAACAGAGGCTGGATGGCCATCTGTCGGGGGTGCTTTGAATGCAATTTTCCTGCTTCTCGGCAGGGGGTTGGTTTGGATGGCCCATGAGGTCTTTTCCAACTTTATGATTTTGATTCTATGATTCTAACTGCCTTCAAGTCAACTGAAGCTCCCATGAAGGAGAGAGTCCCACTTTCCCCTTTCCTCTCAGGCCTTGAAGGCTCCATTGACACGGCCATATCAATGCAGTTTGACAGGGCGTTTGTTGTTCATTCGTTCAGTCACTTCCGACTCTTTGTGACCTCATGGACCAGCCCACGCCAGAACTTCTTATCGGCTGTCACAACCCCCTGCTCCTTCCAGGTCAAGCCAGTCGCTTCAAAGATACCATCCATCCATCTTGCCCTTGGTCGGCCCCTCTTTCTTTTTCCTTCCATTTTCCCCAGCATCATTGTCTTCTCTAAGCTTTCCTGTCTCCTCATGATGTGGCCAAAGTACTTCATCTTGGCGCATATTATATGACTCAGCATTATATGGTTGGTGTAGGCTCATTTAATGCAAAAGATGCATTATATGGGCATAGGTAAAAGTAAAGGTTTTCCCCTAACATTAAGTCTAGTTCTGTCCTACTCGGGGGTGGTGCTCATCTCCATTTCAAAGTCAAAGAGCTGGCGCTGTCCGTAGACACCTCCATGGTCATTTGGCCAGCATGACTGCAAGGAGTGCCGTTACCTTCCCACTAGAGCGGTACCTATTGATCTACTCACATTTGCATGTTTTCAAACTGCTATGTTGACTGGGGCTAACAGTGGAAGCTCACACTGCTCCCCGGATTCAAACCCGTGACCTTTCAGTCAACAAGTTTAGCAGTTCAGCGGTTTAACCCACTGCGCCACCAGGGGCTCCCATATGAGCACAATAATAATAATTTAATTTTTGTACCCTGCCTCCATCTCCCCAAAGGGACACGGGGCAGCTTACATGGGGACAAGCCCAAGATTTATTAATTTTTTTGTCTTGTCAGGAGCGACTTCAGAAAAGTCGCTTCTGGCCGTCTATAAGGACGTTGCCCAGGGGACGCCTGGATATTTTGATGTTTTACCATCCTTGTGGGGGGCTTCTCTCATGTCCCCGCATGAGGAGCTGGAGCTGATAGAGGGAACTCATCCGCGCTCTCCCCAAATTCGAAGCTGCGACCTTGTCAGTCTTCACTCCTGCCGTCACAGGGATTTAACCCACTGCAGCACCGATGGCTCCCAGCCCAAGATTCAACATAGTTAAAATATAACAACAAAATTCATAAAAACATTTCAACAATGTAAAACAAACCGCACTTAATACAATACATAGCGAACATCTAACAAGATTCCATGGTCTTAAGTAGTGCATAGTTCTGAGCTCGGGCAGGCAGCTGGTGCAAATCACTTGCAAAGGTTAGAGCTGATGAGTAAAGTACTAAGGACAGATGACAGGGTTAGAACTGGAGGGTAACATAAAGAGAGCATGATGTCTTTAGAGGGAATAGTGGAAAAGTGCAAGTGATTATGGATCAAAATTGGGGACCAGAATTATTTAGGAAACTATCTAGTTGAAGGCATCCGCATTTTTAGTTCTTTTCAGAAGATGGACAGGGTGGATGCCAGTCTACTCTCTGGGGAGAGAATTCCAGAGCTGGGGGGCCACCACCGAAAAGGCCTTCTCTCTCATCTCCACCAACCGAGCTTGCAACGGGGGTGGGAGTGAGAGGAGGGCCTACCCAGAAGATCTTAAAGATCGTGTAGGTCCGTAGGGGAAGATGCGGTCACAAAGATATGCAGATTATATTATATGGCACAGCATTATATGGTTGGTGTGAGCTTCTCTAATGCAGGAAATACATTATATGATGGCACAGCATTATCTGGTTGGTGTAAGGTCATCTAATGCAAGAAATACATTGTATGTGCATTATATTATATGACTCCGCATTATATGGTCTTTGTAGGCCATATAATGAAAATACTAGCAACTGGCAACAAAGATCCGCATAGTTAAAGCAATGGTATTCCCCATAGTCACCTACGGATGTGAGAGCTGGACCATAGGGAAGGCTGAGCAAAGGAAGATAGATGCTTTTGAACTGTGGTGCTGGAGGAAAGTTCTGAGAGTGGCTTGGACTGCGAGAAGATCCAGCCAGTACATACTTCAGGAAATAAAGCCTGACTGCTCATTGGAGGGAAGAACAGAGGCCAAGATGAAGTACTTTGGCCACATCATGAGAAGAAAGGAAAGCTTAGAGAAGACAATTATGCTGGGGAAAATGGAAGGAAAAAGGATGAGGGGCTGACCAAGGGCAAGATGGATGGATGGTATCCTTGAAGTGACTGGATTGGCCTTGAAGGAGCTGGGGGTGGTGACGACCAACTGGGGGTGGTGACGACCAACAGGGAGCTCTGGCTTGGACTGGTCCATGAAGTCACAAAGAGTTGGAAACTACTGAACGAATGAACAACAACAGGCCAGGCATGGGAAAACTTTGGCCCTGCAGGTGTTTTAGACTCCCAACTCCCACAATTCTTAACCAGTTTGCAGTTATTTTATTCCGGCAGCTAATGTTGCATTTTATTTATCTTAACCAGGGGTAGTTCTGTGATGTTTATGTTGCTTGTTATTGCTTTTTTGTTATTGTCTGCACTTTTGTGGTTCGCATGTTTGCACCACTGACTGCTTTGTGAGCCACCCAGAATCCCTCTGGGAGATAGTGGCAGAATATACATAAAGATTATTATTAGTATTAACACTGGAGGAAAGACAGGATAGAAATTGCCCATATTTATTCGAGTCTTAATGCACCATTGAATTTAATGTATACCACAATTTTCAAAATCCTGAAACCATATATGTGTGTGTGTGTATAGCTGCTGAACGTAATGCACAGACGCAAGAGTCTACTCTTTGTAATTTGGTCAAAAAAGGTGCATTACCGTTGCTGCCTGCTTAGAATTCATTCTTTAAAAACAAGTGTTTGAATACCAAAGCAATGGAAAATAAAACCTTGGGGCTCATCACTGCTGTAGAATGAATCTAATTTAATTGGTTCACTGCTATGGAATTGTGGCGGCTGTAATTTGATGCCTTGAGCCTTCTCTGCCAAAGAAGGCTGATGTCTCAAACTACAAATCCCAGGATTGCGTAACAATGAGCTATGCCAATTAAATTAGTGATGATGTTCCTCAAAGAGGAGCTCCAGGTGTTCCTGAAGCAGCTTTCCCTTTTGCTTTGGCTCAGCATTAAGACCGAATTTATTACGTATTACGTGAATTGCGTATTATATAAATCTAATGTGCACCCTAATTTTGGTAAGGTAATTTAGCCAAAAAAGTGGCTATTGGATTTGAATAAGTAATAAAATATTAAGTGAAGGAAATGAAAAGGGAGAAGGTGTATGAAAGAAATAGAGACAGGAAAGAATGAAAAAGCCACAAAGGGAGCCTACCCCATTGGCAGTGTTGACATGGAGACTGTCATTGTATATGCTAATACAGGGCCCTGCCACACAGCCATATCACCTAGAATATCAAGGCAGGTAATCCACAATATCTGCTTTGAACTGGAATATCTGACTCCACACCACCATATAACCTAGTTCAATGTGAATTTTATACAGCTGTGTGGAAGGGGCCATAGAAAGTATGGCCATAACAGTGAAAGGTTAACAGAATACAAGTGTAAATAATGTCAGCAAGT